GAATATATTTAATACAATTCACATTTTAACAAAACACTACAAGAACTGCATTAGCATTTTAAAATTTACAAGATAATAAAAATTTTATCTTAATTAAGATGATGAAGTATTGATAAAAGCCAAAATAATATTCTTTTAAAATAGCCAAAATATTTAGCTTATATTCCCTAAACAAGTTAAAAATATTCTTTTATTAATATATATTCTCTTAAATTCAAAATATACTTTTGTAAGCATAAACAAAATTTTATAATTCATTTTTACTTTTTTTACTTTTTACTTTCACTAAATTCATTTTTACTTTTATTTTCCAAAGTAAACAATTTTTTATTAAAATATACATTTGAATTAAATAAAATAAACTTGAAATAATAATTAAACTTTTTAAATTTTTTTTAGAAATGACCTTACTTTCTTAAAAAAAATTATTGCTGTATAATTATTTATTATTATTAATAACAAAAAAACATTGAAATTCTTTCAAAATAATCAATATATTATTTTTTATGCAAAATATTCTTTTATTTTGAAATATGCGAAAAGAATATTTACCATATACTTAAATGTTTCTCAATTTGTTGATATTTCAAACCTCTATTTTTCAGCGAATACCCAAAAAAATATATAAAAAATATAATTCCGATCTTTAATTATTAGATATAATTTTAAAAAGTACATTCATGAAAAATGTCAAAATTATTCTTTTAATTGATCAATTACTAGTTTATTTAACCTACCATCAAGTTCACTCATTCCAAAAGCATAGTTAAACCATTCTTGAATTGTTTTGAATTGAGGAGGAAATAAAACATTACGGCTAAACTTACATACTGTCCCCATACTATGTTGAGGTCGTAAAGTACCTTCCATACCAAGGCCAAATGTTAAATTTTGTACAATATGGATATCTAAATCATCTCAATTTATAGCCCCAGAACCTAAAATTGCAACATGTTTTTTTAAATATTCTAAGTAAAATTTAATAGAAATAAAAAAAAAGATATTTACCATTAAATGAAAATACTTCATGAGCTTCAGTGGCAAAAGAAATGCAAGGTTCTTTGAGAGAGAATAGAGCCCATGATTTTGATTTAAAGTTTATTCCATGAAAGCAAGCCAAAGATATATTAACACCATGTAAATCCATTTTACCACCTAAAACAGTACCCCACTGGGGTAAAGGATATTTAAATGTAGATAGCTTTAAGCCAGAAACAATTTCCAATGCTCGTTGCCAATGTCGATGATGGTGTTTACAATCATCTAGATTTGAATCTAAAAATAAAAAAAATATTAACAACTTTTATTACTACTTAAAAGAAAACATCCTATTACTCTCTGGGCTTGAAGTAGACACCAGTATTCTTCTTCTAGTTGATTTTTTCTTCAAATTTTTTTCACTATTAAGAGAATCTCTAGGTTCATGTAAACTCGAAAAAACACGTTTACTAGATTTAAATTGCTGTGAGAAAAATTCTTCTAGTTTGTAATACATTTTCATAATATCAGAAGATGTGCTTTTAGATATCATTAGCTGTAGTTGATCCCATCCAAGATCACCATGCATAAAAACAATATCGGGTCTTTTATTTGATTCATATAAGCCATCTGATGACATGGTCTTGGATATTAATTTCCATTCATCTTTTAATATGACTTCAAGCAAGCTTACACGAGACATAAGAACAGCTGTTCCCATGTAATCTAAACGTAGTTCAAATGCTAGTAATTTTAATCCGACTGTATGGCGAGGTTCTAATCCAGGATCTTCTTTAATTAATACTACACAAATAATTTTTATATTTTATAAGTTATTATAATTTTTTGAAAATTTTCAATTTATTTATAACATAATTTACCATAAGTGTTGATTTTATTAAGTTCAATTGTTCCACCAACAATACCTCCTTTAGCATCAAGTCCTGAGCTACCAAGTCCTAAACCAATATGTAAATTTTTATGACCTGTACTACCAACAGATAGCCGTCCTTCGGAATGAAATTGTTTTGAAAGCCAACTAAATTTAAAATTATATATATATATATATATATTTGGGTTTAAAATTGATTAAAAAAATTTTTAAGCAGAATCTTAATTTTACAGCTTTTTTTAATATGAATATAGTAATGTAGTAATGTGCAAGCATGAATTTAAAAAAAGACATTAGGTGACCGTATNTATTAGCATGAATTTAAAAAAAGACATTAGATGACCGTATATTAGTGAGTTAATTTCATTTTCAGAGTGCATTTTTGAAGTATTTTGTTTATTCTATATTTTGCTACCCTTATTTTTTAAACCAATTATTAATTTATGCCAATGTGATAATAATAATAATCACGGAGAAAAAATCAACATATTTATAACTAAATGCATAAGAATTCATAGTTAATGTTTCATTGTCATATTAATACTACCTAAATACTTACGTAACATTGCCCATAACATTTCCCATATTCATATGAACATTAAATCGCTTAAAATTAACAGCGAATAGTACTNTAAATCGCTTAAAATTAACAGCAAATAGTACTAAAGTTTCCCACGCAGCAGTTCCTCCACTATTAGATTTTTGATCTGGGCTAGAATCATAACTTGAATCAAACCTTTTTTTATCATATGTACTTTGTTTATCTCCTTTGATATTTAAATGAAGTTTATCACGATAAATTTTTGATTTAGAATCAAATACAAGGTGGCTTCCATAACTATAAAAACACGAAGTATTAAAAATATGTATACAAATATAATTTAACTACTTACGAATCATCAGGATCTAAAATATTTTTGTGATCACTGAATGCATTACTTGGTACAGTTCTAGTTAAGTCACCAAGGAATAATCTGCGCACAATACTACGTCTATACCATGCTCTTGGAAATGCCAAAATTTCTGTTAGACGTCTCATATCATACTTGAATGAAGCTGATCCAATGTCTACAATAGCTGAAATATCACATAAATGAATATTGTATTTAATATACAGAATAAAAGATAAAAGACGTGTATACCTGTCTTCNATTAAAACAAATCAAAAGTATTGCTAAAAGACATGTAATACCTGTCTTCATTTAAGTTTAAAAAATATAATAATTACTAGAAAATCTAATAGTAGCATGACTCTGATCTGATGTTGATTTAGATCCAGGCAAAGATTCAAAATTAAGTTTTCTACTTCTGGACAAATGAAATTTAACAAACTCAACATTGACACTCAAAGAATCTTTGCGTTCACTGTCAGCAAGTGGTGACCAAGAATTATCATGAGGTTCCTTTAAATTGGCAGCTATTTAAAATAATATTTACTGTAATATCAAATAATTTAAAGTAACTTTTATTTTTTTAGTACTTACTCGATTTTTTTCCTCCATATGGATGAAAAATATACATAGAGAAATCAGCCATTACTCCAGTAATACTTAAACCACCAACAGCAACTGGTAAATTATTAGGTTCTTCACAATTTCCTTCGAGTTTACTAAATATTCAAAAGAAATGTTAAGTTAATTAGATGACAATTAAAAAAATATTTTTTGGTACATACTCATTTGATGAATCAGTTCTTTTGGAAGAAAAAACAATATCTAAAGAAGGTAATTTTAGCATACATTCAACTCTTGAAACTGGTAAACATGAAAAGCGGAAAGTTGAGGTTTGCACATGAAGATAAACAATAACATCAACAGGAAATGAGGTATAAGCATATTGTCCAGTAGTTAAGTAGGGTGCAAATAAGTCATCATCATTGTCAATATTAAACATAGTATCAAAAGGACCTAAGTGAAATATAAATTAATTGATTTCAAAAAATGATTTAAGTTTCAGTATATATAGTATTATTATATATTCTATATTCAGGTATATAGTAAATATACCTGTATCAACAAATTGTTGAGCTGGAATTGGAGCTAATGTCTGCTCTAAAAACTCCAATATATGAGGAGATATTATTGTTTCTTCAGGTATACTATGAAGTGTAGCCCAACAATAGAGGCTAGCTTTTTTTGTACTTGTTTTTCTACTAATCACTCCACTTGAATCAATTGAATACATTAAAGATTGTCCTTCATCAGATACCATTTTTGATTGGTAATGTACTTTGAAATCTAAACCAGGAATGTGAAATATTGTGAGTTCTGATAACTGGGATAATGTATTTGTAACAGTTTGATGGTGTCTTAATCGTGAACTAGATGTGCTATTTGCTCCCAGTTTGTCTTTATAAGAACGTCTAGGTAAATTAGGACTACCTGGTGTATATTCAAAAACACCACCAGAACAACTGCGTTCTTTTTTCATTCTTGACATTCTAATAAAAATATTATTCTTAAATCTTTTACTAAACATTTAAAATAAAATAATTATTTTCTTACATCTTAATTTCGTCTTCTTTTACAGAATCTTTAGTATGTAATACACATTTACCACTATTTATAAATACTTTAACATCCAGTTCAAAATCAATGTTAGGTTCTTGAGATTTTTGATTTGCATTGGTTGAATACAATGGATTTAATAAATAATCATCCCTTTTTGAAAAAAATGATCAAAAAAAATATATAAGATATTATTTAATATCCATAATGATTTACCTGGTATCACTATGTCTACTGTAGTTAGTATTTGGCCAACAATCATCTCCTTCAGTTACTAAACTTTGTTCAGAACTTGCACTTGGTAATGAATTTTGTCGAAATATTTCTTTAGTATTGCTGAAAGTAACATGACCAGGAAGAGGAACTCTAAATGAAGTTGAGTGTTGTGGTCCTGTCTGCGGTGAATTTTCTACACTGCTTAAACTTACCACTTCTTCAGGACTATAATTAAAAATAAATTGTTGAAAAATCTTTAGTCTCAAAAAAAATTTGAATACTTTACCTTGGAATTACTTCTTTAAAGTCTAATAAATCTTGTGATGGAGATATTATAAATGATTTTGATCTGTAGGTAGAACTTTTATTACCGAGGCCAAATTTACCTTTCAGACTTGATTTTCCTTTTACACTTTGTCTTCTTAATTTTTGAATCATATCTCTAAAAGTTATCAATAAATATTATACCATTGCTGTTCAGTATTTAGTATTTTATAATAAAATAATATTATAATAAGATTAAATAATAATATTTATAAATTATAAAAATTACAAAAGAAGCATGTTAATTCACCTTCTAAATCCTTTAAAAACCATTGCTTCTAATTCACGTAAACGTTTAACTTCATGTTCAATAGTACTTTGAGATGCTCCCAAAGATCTCAAATCATTTATAGCTTTTGCTTGTTCATACATTTCTTTTTCAATTATTTTTGATTTAGTTTTAGCATTCATGTTAGGATCTATAGCCAAAGACTCCAATATATCTCCTTCCATACTTGTTTTATGACGAATAATATCACTATCTTGGGATATAGGATCACTATCTGAAAGTGGATCATCAGTATCTTGAACTCCAGTCAGAGCAGTCAATGTGTGTCCTAAAGCACTAAGTTGCTTTCCAATATTGACATCTAAATGCATGTCAACACCTTCCATTTGCCATTTGACGTTTAAGAACCATTTGGCATTTTCTGAAAAAAACATTTAAAAATCAATAATTACTTGTTATGCTATTATATATATAGAATCTATATATATATATATATAAATATGTAATAGATTCAAGGAAAAATAATTTTTTTTTTTTTAAATGTGAAAATTTAATTTTAAAATGAAGTACTATAGTTATGTTAATACTTTGGTAAGAAAAAATAAAGTGTGTCAATAAAGTACATCATTTATCAGCAAGAATAATACAACTTAAAATTTGTCATTTTTCTGATTTATGTACCAAAATTAATGAAAAATATTTAAATTTAAGCTAGAAAAGTTGGTTATAAATTTAGACATAATAGTTTGCACTATAGAGTATTGCATAAAATTAATTAGAATTTAAATTGTATAAAATCATTAATTTTATTTGTTCCTTTTTGTTATGTTATTATTCTAATGACAACTATTCTAGTCAATAAGCAATATTTTTGATAATACATAATACTCTTCAGTCTAATACCTGTAATAGAATCTAATTTTTGAGAAGTAGTGCGACTACAAACTTCATATGTTCCTTCTGAAACAATACAGAGATTCATAGCAGCAGAAACAAGTTCATTTGTAATATCAGGTTTCCAATCATCAAGAGATGAATCAAAATCATCAGCAAATCTTAAACATAATCCAATAAAACGTCCTTTGCTAACCAATTTTCCAGAGCTACAAGCCGATATACTAGTAGATTCCAATGTAATAACTACAGCTGAACATGATTCAAAATCCATAAAAATTGAACGGTTTAAACTCCATGTTGTCTAAAATTCAAACAGTTTAATAGTACAACATTTGAAATGCATTATTAACTAAATACCTGAGGTAAAGNATATTTGAAATGCATTATTAATTAAATACCTGAGGTAATGGATTTAAAGGCACACAAATACCCATGTCTTCAACAGTGAGTTGTAAGAAAATAGTTCCTAAATTTGGTGAAACAGGTATTTTGTCAGAAGGTATTTTTTCTGATGATGGTTGTGTAGCAGTTAATACTTCTTTATTTAAACTTGCTCTCTGTTCATTCCAATATTCATAAGCATTTTTGTAGTTTAACCAAACTAAAATGGCTTTATCAACTGCCATTGGTTGTATATAAATTAAAGGTCTTCTTAATGTAATCAGTATAACTTCTTTATCTTCTCCTTCGCCGACCATTTCCCCTTGGAAAGCATTTCGGAGCTCTATATAAAACATTATTTTAGAAATTAGTTTAAACAGTTTAATATGTTTTCATATAATCTCACCAATTCTAGTTTTAAAAAAGGCAAAACTTTGGAATTCAGGATCAGCTTCTTCAAAGAGGGGATTTCTTATTACTTGACCAAGAGATAAATTTACATCAATGTGTGCTTTAACAAAAATTTTCACTTGTTCTGATGTTTGATATGATGAACCTGATACATTTTGAATTCTATTAGACAATTGAAAATCAGCTGAGCCAGTTTCTAATCGAACAGCACAATTTGTTGGTGTGGTTGCAGTTAGTTCAATGCGCTAAATTATTATTTAGAAAATTAATTTATTTATTTCACTGTTATTATTTAACCATATGTTATTTTACCTTCATTTTTACTGTTAGTGAAAATAATATTCGTTTTACTGGTGTAGATCGATCAGCATCACTATCTTCTAGCCATATAGGAACAGGTTTTTCACCCCCATATACTTTTTGAACTACTTCATTAACTTCCTTTATAGTTAAAATATTGTGTTTTATAAAATTATAAAAATGATTAACATTAATTACTCACTTTCATAAATACTTTTTGGACAAAAACTAAATGATTTAACAAATCGGTTGTCAATGATTGTTCAAATATACCAATTTCAGCAATGGCACTTAGATAGTTCCCTTGTCGTAATACTGCCCCATCTAAAAAATATAACAAGTATTTACTAATTGAGCTTATTTAATAACTTAACACTAATAATGTGGCACATATATGGAAAAAGTGTATATATGCAGAGGTTTAAAAAGGTGTGAGTAAAATAGTTCTTTTAGAAGGATTTTGAATAAAATGTCTTCAGTCTACCTCCTGAAAACAATTCTAAATACGCACCTGATATATACATAATGTCAGATTTACGGGGCAACAAATGATATATTGCACCAGGAGGATCTCAAGATAATTAGATTGTTTGGAGGCTTATATTTTTATTGTTTTAATAAAATAATATACGAGTCAAGATAAGATATAGTTTCAAAATTAGTTTTATTTTAAATATTTTATTTTTGAAAAGATATCAATT